CCCCCCGATCCCCCTGAGACCCCCCCCAATTCCAGCCCCCTTCCCGCTCACCCATCGCTCCTGCTCCTTCCTCCGCTCCTCGGCGTCCAGCCGCGCCTGCTCCTGCCTGGGGGGACGGCACAGGGGGCGTCAGGAGGGGACACGGGGGTGGGACACGGGACAGGAAGCGACACAGATGGGAAGCACCAGCGGGATATGGGGACAGGGACACGGGGCTCGGACACAGGCAGGGACACGGGGATGGAACAGGGATGGGGACACCGGGATGGGACAGGGATGGAGACATGGGGCTGGGACAGGGACATGGGGCTGGGGACACGGGCTTGGGACATGGGACACACATGGGAAACACCGGTGGGATATGGCGACGGGAACACGGGAATGGGACATGGGACAGGATGGGACACAGATGGGAAACACCAGTGGAATGTGGGAATGGGGCATGGGACAGGAAGGGACACAGATGGGGAGCACCAGCGGGATATGGGGACGGGGACACGGGGATGGGACATGGGACAGGATGGGAAACACCAGGGGGATATGAGGACTGGGACACGGGGCTCAGACAGGGACAGGGACACCGGGCTGGGACAGGGATGGGGACACGGGGCTCAGACGGGGACGGGGACACCGGGCTGGGACAGGGACGGGGACACGGGGCTGGGACAGGGATGGGGACACCGGGCTGGGACAGGGATGGGGACACCGGGCTGGGACAGGGACGGGGACACCGGGCTGGGACAGGGATGGGGACACCGGGATCAGACGGGGACAGGGACACAGGGCTGGGACAGGGATGGGGACACCGGGATCAGACGGGGACAGGGACACAGGGCTGGGACAGGGATGGGGACACGGGGCTGGGACAGGGATGGGGACACGGGGCTGGGACAGGGACGGAGGCCAGCCTTGCCCTCACCGCCGCTCCTCGATGAGCCGCTCCCGCTCCTGCAGCCGCCGCTCCCGCTCCGCCGCCTGCAGCCGCTCCTCCTCCATGCGCTCCCGCTCCCAGCGCCGCCGCTGCTCCCGCTCCCGCTGCCGCTCCTGCTCCTTCCGCTGCTGCTCCTCGCGCTGCGCACGCACCGGGATCAGCGCCGGGATCGGCACCGGGAACCGGCAGCGGCGGCTGGACCGGGAACTCACCGGCCCCCGCAGCAGGAGCGGCGCGAGGATCCCGCTGCCGTTGGCACGGGCACGGGGAACCGGCACCGGGACTGGGACCCGCCACACTTCCTACTGGGGCTGTCCCAGCCTCGGCACCGGGACCGGGACCGGGACCCCACCGACCGCAGCACCAACAGCGGCACCAGAACCCCCGGGACTGAGACCCCCCACCCCATGGGCAGTGGGACCCCATCGGCAGCGTCAGCGCCGGGACCCCCACAGACCGCTGGGACCAGGACCCCCGCTGCACCCCACACCGGGACCGGGACCCCCACCAAGCTCGGCACTGCGACCCCCGGGCTCTGCCCCGAGGCAGCAGCCGTGACCCCCATCCCCGGGATACCGGGGGACCCCCCAGCCCTTCCCCAGCGCCCCGACCCCTCACCTCAGCCTGCTCCCAGAAGGAATCGCGCTGGGTGCGCTGCAGCTCCAGCGCCGGGTTGGTCTTGCGGTAGTTGGTTCCCTGGGGAGCGCAGGGGGGTCAGGGTGGGACCCCCAGAACCCCCCAACGCCCCCTGCCCAGAGAGCCGCGGGAAGGGCGAGCGAGCACCCACCGCCCCCCAGGTGCCCTCCCCGTTCTCGCAGGGACATCGCCCCCCACTCACCACCAGCTCCGGGGTGTCCTGGGGGGTCCTCCTGGGAGGGCGAGGGGCGGGGGGCTCCAGCTGGGCCAGCACTCGGCGCAGCCCCTCCAGCGTCACCTCCTCGGGGCGGCGGGCGCTGATCACGGCCGTGGCCTCCTGCCACCGGCACGGGACAGGATGGGACAGTGCCACCCACCCCCCCGCCACGGCCCACCCCCCCCC